CTACTAAGTAATAGAGCACCCAGTAGAGTTTTATTTTTTATATATTTCCATTTGTCTTTTTTAAAATCCTGCCTTTAATCAGTAAGCCTTTTCTATCTGAGCACTCACTGTTTTTCTTTAGCTCAAGAAATTACTATATTGAATCAATACTTGTTCTCCATCTATTCCTTTTTCCCCTCATATTTTTCTCTACTTAGGATTCCCACTTCTAATTTTTCTGTTGTAGGATGTTTCTCCCTAGCTCCCCATTTGATCTTCCAAAACTAGTTCCAAAAAACACTAGTCATCTTTTTTTCTTAATTCATGAGTCATATATATTTCTTTGTATCAAGTAGCTTTATTTTTAAAATTAGATTAATTGTTGTTTTTTTTTTTTTTTATTCAGGGCTAAAAAGTAAGATTATTAGTAAGCAACTAATAATCTATGTCATCTTAATTTGATGGAGAAGCAAGCCCCACCTAAGCTACTGGTTTTTGGGTTGTCTCCTTTAAGACTACACTGAGGATATTTCTTCACCTCGGATGTATGCAGACCTTCCTATTTAATTTCTCCCTTTTATTTTAGTTAAAATGGAGGAATTGCTCTTCTTAGAGGCAAATTGTTCAATCTGAATCCCCATTCCTCTAGCCTTAAGGATTTTATCCTAGTTCTTCTCTGGTATTTTTGATTTCTTTGTTTTGATCTCTCTTCAGTTTTAAAAGAAAAAAATTTCCACCCACCCCAAATCCTTAAGTTACTACCCAATTTCTTCCTTTTCAGAGCTAAATTGAGAAAAATCGATATATGTCAAGAAAAAGTTGATACATACGACAGCCCGTGTCTAGCAAGTGGCTATTTTTGTACTGCCTGCAAACTAAGAATGTTTTCAGATTTTTTTTTTTTTTAAGATTTTATTTATTTGAGAGAGAGAATGAGATAGAGCATGAGAGGGGGGAGGGTCAGAGGGAGAAGCAGACTCCCTGCTGAGCAGGGAGCCCGATGCGGGACTCGATCCCGGGACTCCAGGATCATGACCTGAGCCGAAGGCAGTCGCTTAACCAACTGAGCCACCCAGGTGCCCTGTTTTCAGATTTTTAAAGGGCTGTTTTTTAAAGAGTATGCAACAGAGACCTAGGTGGCCCACAAGCCCTAAATATTACAAAATTGTTTTGTCTCTTAAAAAAAGAAAAAAAACCACTACAGATTCCTGAGTATACTATCCCAATTTCCAAGATTAATTCAGGGCTTGTCCTGAGGCCCTCTTCTCACTATAATCTCTCTCTAGGATGATCTCTGACATGTACATAGCTTCACTAACAACCTTGGTGTAGTTGACTCACAACTGTACATCCAACCCAATTCTCCTAATTGTGCTCATATATTTCGTGGCTCCGTTGATATCTTCATCTGGCTATCGCAGTGATACCTGAAAACTAAACTTAAGGCGCTCCTGGCTGGCTCAGTCAATGGAGCATGCAACTCTTGATCTCGAGATATGAAGTTGCAGCCCCATGTTGGGTGTGGAGATTACTTAAAAATAAAATCTTAAAACTTAAGCATCATCTCCCATTTGCATTCTTTTTCTCAGTGAATGGATCAGCCATCCAACTAGTGATATAAACTAGGAAGTTGGGAGCTATCTCAGTCTTTCTTCTTGCTTACTCATAAGTAGTCAATAAATCCTAACAGTTTGAACCATGAAATCTCTTGAATCTATCTACTGATCCATCTCTACCAGCTTATCCTTCTCTAAGCCTTCATTACCTCTTGCTTGAATTGCTAATTAATTGGTGTCTCTAGATCCCCTCTTTACCTCTACTCTACTTTCCACATCACAGCCAGAAGGATAGTTCTGAAATACAAATTTAATTACATCATACCATACTTCAAATACAGTAATGACTTCCCTGGTTCTTGAAGTGTAACTTCTTTAATTTGGCCCATATGGCCTTGCATGGTCTGACCCCTGTGTATCGTACACAAACTGACCTTGTTCATTCTCCCCTTTCTTTACTGCAGTTGTATTACCCTTCTTTCAATCCTCTGGTCAGATGCTCTTCCCTTTTCAATATTTAAGACCTGTACCCTTTTCTGTATCATTTTGCATATTTAATGATAATTTATTTGTAGAACTGAAGTCAAGTGAGAACTCCCTGAGTGAGTCCAGTTTTCCTCTCTTATGCTCTCATTGCGTCACATACTGCACCTTCATAGCGTTTATCACAATTATAATCTTATATTTATCGGTGCACTGATTAGATTAATGGCCATCTCCTGCATCTTACTTGGATTAGGGTGTACTTCATGTTTTCTACTCTGTCTTCAGCACTCAGTACTATATCTGGTACAAATACTGAGAATTTGAAAACAGGAGCTAGGTTATTGTGGGGCAGGTTTTCTGTACAGGTTGGCAGAGTTCCGAAATACTAGCGGTAGGAATTTGCTGAGGATAGAAAGTGAGACCTGGGAAGAGAGTTGTTTTGTAATGCAGTGAAACAAAAAAGATTCCTTGTTATGTATTGCAGATTGGTTATACACGTGTTCAGTTCAGAAACTGGTGGTTGTCATCTCAAATATTGAAAGTGGTGAGGTCCTTGAAAGGTGGCAATTTGGTATTGAGTGTGACAAGACTGCAAAAGATGACAGGTAAGTATGAAGTAAATTGCTTCCATTTTTACAGATCTTTTTCCAAAACTGTTTTCTTTTACTAGATGAGTTCTACTTATATTGAACTAGTTTCACATAAAGTAGTTTGTTTCTAAGTATGTTAGATGTGATCTTTAATCTCCTGTGGAGAAGGATTGGGCTCACAAATTGTGCTCACGAAAGAATTTTGCCTATCACGGACTTTTAACATAATTGCGCTTAGGCTAAATCCATAAATTTCAAACTTTAGTGTTTATGATGCTATATGTAAAGCTACCATGGTGTCCGTCCTAGGTGGGCCATTTCATGAATTGTAGAAAGGTACTTTTAACCATGAAGTATTATCCTAGACTTTCTCCCAGCTTACTGTGCAGCTCTACTGTATTTCATTTAATGCTACAAACTTCTTAGACATTCCCTTTTTTTTTTTTTTAGGATTTTATTTATTTATTTAATAGAGCATGCGAGAGAGGGAACATAAACGGGGAGTGGGAGAGGGAGAAGCAGGCTTCCCGCCAAGCAGGGAGCCCGATGTGGGGCTCAATCCCAGGACCCGGGAATCATGACCTGAGCCAAAGGCAGTCGCTTAACTAACTGAGCCACCCAGGCGCCCCTCCTTAGACATTAAACTGAAGTTTTTAGATTATCCGGATGGGAGATGCCCATCATTATATGCTAATTTCTAGCATTGTCCTAGGCATGCTTACCTGTAAACTCTGAACTATCTCTCATAATGAAATGATGGAGTTTGCTCCTGAAGCCTTTGGTCTGTTTTAGAAAATGTTTAATTATTAACGCCATACACGAGTAACATCTTATTTGAGGCAATAGGAAATTAGACATTTAGGCATTACTAAAAATGCCAAAATGATTATACCGATTCAATATTTTAGATACTGCTTGTTATCTTTATTTTAAGACATGCTGAAGCTTTCCTGACTTGAAGTACTTGGCAGGTTTTCTAGTCATCTGTTATTTAATGACCTGATACTAAGAACAACCCTAAAAAATGATTGGAAGGATAAATGAAATAATAGAGATACATATTGTGCCTACTAAGTTTCTTAAGGACATATATTTATTTTCATTTAAAAAAAACCTCCTTTTGAATGCATTACTTATTTGATTTTGGAAGCATTTAATCAGATAAATAATCTTACCCGTGTTTCAAATAACTTGTTAAAACTTAAAATGAATTAATTGGTTTCTTTGATAGTGCACCCAGAGAAAAGTCTCAGAAAGCTATCCAAGATGAAATCCGTTCAGTGATCAGACAGATCACAGCTACGGTGACATTTCTGCCACTATTGGAAGTTTCTTGTAAGTATTATACAACTTCACACTGGCTTAAATTTGTTGTGGAAAAGACTAAGCTACTACTTTAAGAATTAATGCGCTCATTAAGTTTTTTCTTAATTATAAATGTCATGTTATATGAATGAGAAAACTGTGATAAAGCTAAAGTAATGCTATTTGCATTTTATTTACAAGTGCTGAAAAGGAAAGGAATGAAAGTATTCTACAGTACTCACTCTTGAATATTTTGATGTAATTTCTGTCATTATTTTTATTTTCTACACATTTCTATGTATATAATTAAGATTTATAGCTATAATTGTGTCTTTGTTTTCTTAGTTACTCCTTCATTCATCAGATATATCCTAAATACCTACTACATGCCAGATGCTGTTCTGGGCACTGGGATACAGCTGTCACAGAACCAAGGTATTATCTCTTCTATGGCTTAGATTCATGCTGTCTCATGATTAATTGTATACTTTCTGCAAATATTTTTAGTGGTTTTCTCTTTAAAAAAAAAAACTTGAGTTTTTCATAAAGTAAAAGGAGTACAGTATTTTCTGTACTAAAATTTCCATTGAGGAAAAGCAATTAGTTAATATAATTGATTAGAGATCAAGGTAAACTAGCTTTTCTGACACTATAGATGGTTCAAATGTAAAAGACACAGGAAGGGTGGTTGTACTTTAGAAAAAAATAATTGTACTTTAATGATCTTATCCCCAATTTAGGTTCATTTGATCTACTGATACATACAGACAAAGATTTGGTTGTACCTGAAAAATGGGAAGAGTCGGGACCACAGTTTATTACCAGTTCTAAGGAAGTCCGTCCCTTCGTTCATTTACTACTACAATCCACAAAGTCAATAGCATGGTGGCCTACAAAATTCCTGTCAATGACTGAGGATAAGATAAGGACAGTGATGTACTTATAACTCTCAGATGTGGTTTTCCTGAAACCAAGTCAACTATAGTTGATACATTTTGTTTCACTGGTTAATTTTTAGATGGGGAAAACTTAACATTATACTTCTATTGAACTGTGCATAATTGTTCCATTTTTTGGTACCCGTATGACTTTATACAGGGTTGGTATAAATTATTGCACATTGTTCAGAAGGGAACTAGCAGATTACATCAGCATTGTTAATGTCAATTCCTTTAAAGGTGGTAACTGTAGATGGAAAGCTTTTGCCATAAAGCTAAATGCCTTCTTAAACCTTCTGGTCAAGTACCTTGATTCGGAATATAGGTAGGGAGATATTTAAATATAAAATACAGCAAAAAAGTCCGAAAATTCAGAGTCTTTGTTTAGATCCTGAAATTATCTAATGATAATCTGTAAGTAATGAAATACTGCTCCTGTTAGGTCCTTTTGCCATTTATTTTATTTGTATATTTTCCGTATTAAAAGCATTTCCAATTATTTGATTTTAATTTATATAACTTGAACTTACAAAGCTATGTATATTGCCACTGTTTAAATTCCTGTGATACAGAACACTTAAACATTTTTTTTATGTTTTATAAAATCAAGCTTTAAATGATGTAATAAAGTTAAGTATGTATATTTTAATTTGTCTTAACATATTTTTATATTGGTGTGGTATTAACACAGTTAAATAGCAGGATGGATTCAGTATAGCAAATAATATCTTGTACCTACCAGGGCCTAAGAATACAAACTTGAGTCAGTCTGGAGGTGCTTTCAATTTAATGGACAAGCTTTGATTATACCCCTTTAATCTTATAACTGTGGACTTAAAATAAGCATCATTCTTTGTATAAAATAATACATGTCATTTGGAATTAATTCATTTTAGCATATGTTGGGCTGTAGAACTTTTCTATACTCCTAGCCTTATTGCTAGCCTAGTCTTCCTTATTTTGCCAAGGTCAGTTGAAGGCAGACTTCTAAAAAGTCTCTTCTAATCTCTGTTCTAAATCTTATCTCATTTTGTAATAATTAAATGCTTAGTATCAGACACTGTTCTAAGCTCTTTATATGTATTAACTCGTTAATCTTCACTATAAAGTAAAAACACATAGCCTGTATCCATTCCTTCAAAAATTACAAAGTGAACACCTGTTAACGTGCCAAGTATTGGGATGAATGAAACAGGGTCCTGGCCTTTCTGAAGTTTGAGATATGAAGGAGAGGAAAATACATGGCAAGCTTCCAAGAAGTAACTACACGGATTTATCACATATGTATTTGTCTTTGTTATTTCACCTGAATGATCTGTTTGATCCTGTTGCCTGCTTGTTAAGAATAAAGGGCAATTCTCTCACTACAAGACAAGTGTAGGTCCCCGTATTTGATGATGGGTGTAGTGAATGCTGTTGCGAAAGCCCATTCCCTTGAGAGTTGAAGCTATCTAATTTTAGAGGTCCACCCACAACTCTTGCCTGAATAAGAAAAGTAGTTATGCAGAAATGGAAATGATTTTGAATTAGGTATGGTCAAGAGTCTGGTTTTCCAACATGAGATATAGTACAAAGTGGTCACTAGTAAGATTAAAACATTTGAATTCTTGGCTGTACATAACCTTCATAACATGACACATTAGGTTGAGAAAGAAAGCAGAAATGGAAGCTCAGTAAAAATATGGAGAGAGTTGAAAATTCTGGAACTACTTTTGGGACAAAAGTTTGAAATTCTTTTCAGAAAGCAGTAACTGCTTTAGGAAACACAATGCCTCTGCTAAGTGGCCGGAAATAATGTGGTTCTTCCCCCACAAAAGCTCACTGGTAGCAACTTTCTTAATATATCATTGGTAATACTTAAATTTCTGTCATTTGTGTTTTTATTTACCAAATTAAATGACCCTAATATTATCACTTTTAATTTGTGATTTCTAACATTGCTAATTTCCCCCCCTTATAGATTATGTATCATTTAAGAAATACAAATACAAAGCTATGAGCTTTGTTGGTAAAGCTCAATTGGAAAAGCTTTGGCCTATGGCTCCAACTAAACTTGTCCTGCCTTCTTTCCTATACCCGAAGCTCACCTTAGGAGGGAGCTATTTAAACCAACAGGTTCAAGAATTGTGAATGACCGATGAGTACTGGGTGTTACGTGTAAGTGATGAATCACTAAATTCTCCTGAAACTAATATTACAGTACATGTTAATGAAGTAGAATTTAAATAAAGATTTGGAAGGAAAAAAAAAAACAAAAACAAAACGTGCGTGACTTCCATACCATGTTAAACAGAGAAGCCAAGATTCCAAGAGAGTCTGATAGGCCTCTGATAGGCCTGGCCTGGACTCTGACTCGGTTTTGCTTACCGTAGGTACAGGAATGAAAACAACATGTTCCGATTGGGCCTGTCGAGGTCTGAAACAGAGCCCCAGATGGGACTGAACCACACCCGGTCTTCAGGACTCTTCTCCCAGTGTCATCAATTGGACAGAGAAGTCAAGCCTTGATGGGAATTTTACACAGAGGTATAACGATCTCATGTTTTAGTTGGCTTTTGCTTCATAGCAAACAACCATAGAATAACCGTAAGCATTTTTTTTTTTTTTCCTGTAAGTCTGTGGATTATCTGGGGTGCTTGTTTTATTCTCATGCAAATCTGCAGGTCACATGTTTCATTCTACCATTGAAGGGGCAATAGCTAGCCAGGACTTTTAAAGCTTAGTTTCCAACTTTGACACTGACATTTTTGCCCACATTCCACTGATTTTGGCCAAGTCTTGTGGCTGAGCCAAACTTCAGTGGGGCAGGGAAGTATACTCCTCCCATGGAGTTGGGGAAAGGGGTATGTGAAAATGTGATGAAAGTGATAATATTATTATTAGACAGGAAAGATCAGAATAGCTATAATGCCGCATTGTAACTCATTTTCCACCAGATGTCACTAATGCTGCAATATTCAAATTAAGGTGAACTTTTGACTTTAAAGGCTGTAATATTCAGCTTTTCTTATTGGAAATTAACAGTGGGATTTCTGGCTACAAAAATATAGACATCCAAGGAAGGAAATACAGCATCTGTAATTGGCTAAGCACTTCACATGAATTATTTAATTTAATTCTCATGCTTTAGTGCACAAGTAGAATTGCGGAATCAGCGGGCATGCAAACTGCACTACATTTTTTAGAGTTTAGATGGTCTCTTCTGTCCATGACCAAGGAAGCTCATCTGGCTCCTCAGCAAGCACATCAAAAGGAGTGTTTCTTCACCCGTTTCCTAATGGCTCTTACCTTTGACATCCTCTTAGCAATTGAGTGTCCAGAGCAAACTGGTTTTCATTTACTCCGCTTTACAAAACTCTACGTTTCTTTGGGTGCATTTGTATTTACACTTTCCTCAGATGACTTCCTGTAACTTATCCATATTGTGCAAAGAATAAATCAAGTGTGCATTTGTGAGCAGTTGTGAGACACTTGACCCACTAGTCAAAAGAATTGTTCGTTAAGTAACCTCAGTTACTCTTTAGGGAATTAATTTTTGGCTAAAGTTGTAAATAATAATTTCTTATTCTTTTTTTAATTAAATATGTGAAATTAGATTTTAAGTTATTTTGTTCAGTGTAACCGTGATAAAAATTTGTGTTGGAATAACTATGGAATAGAAATGCTGCTAAATTCCAAATTTTATGAGCTACATTTTCTAAGAACAGATCTTTAAAGATCTTTCCATTCATCACGAACATGGCTTTGAAAGCCAGCAGTATTAACTGATGCTTATTAAAAAAAATCTAGTTGGGAAAGCTACTTAAGCTTCATTAGAGTGGACAATGCTGTTCCAATCTGGCAAAAACACTGTAGCCTTAGCAACAAAACTATTAGAAAAGGCCTAGGGAGAAAAATGTCAAGAGTTGACCCTCTGATTACACAAGTCAGTTTATGTTACCATTTCACCTATTTTTGTGCTCTTACCATTTGATCTATTTTTATACTAGAGAAACATAATTTCATTTATTTGTATAAAGTCCATTGTCATCTGCGTTTATCTGCACCATTTTGTTATGTAAGCTTGTTTGCACAAAGGTACACATCCTATCAAAATCTTAATTGTTTTGGCATTTTATCTGTGCTGAAAAAGGCCTCTGAATATAAGCACGACCGCTCAGGCTCCACTTCCATGCAGGGGAAAGATGTCAAACCTCTTTAAAAGCTATCTAGATATGGACATGCCCAGTGGATACCTAGACATGGATGTGAATTTCTTTCTGAATGGCAGTCTCACTGACTCACACTCATTTCCTTTAATCCTCACAACAACCCTAGGAGGGTTATTGTTGCCATTTTACACACGTAAAGCCTGAGATTCAGGGAGCCTAGGTAATTTGCCCAACTTCAAACATCCAGAATCTGTCCCCAGGCCCGACCCCAAGGCCAATATTCTTTCTAGTATATCTCATTGCTTCTCAGAGACTAGGGAACAAAGGAGGGTGCCCCTGCTCCAGTGTGCACAGACTCAGCCAAAAAGACTAGACTGCTACATGACTCTAACCCCAAGTTGGGGAAGGAGAACTCAACAGTATTTGAGTATCAAGTTTCATTAATTTTTTAAAAAACACTTTTTCATAACAAGCGATCATTAGATGTTTATATACACACAGTATTTTGCTGTACGATAGCTGCATGCATCTTCTTCCATCAACAGTTTCTTCTCTCATTCTTTCACTTGTTTTTGTAACTACATGCTGTGTTGGAATTTGAACGAGTGAGAAAGAGGAGACAGAAGGCGATTGAGATGTATGTTATCATCCAAATCATGGGGTTCCCTAGCAAAGCTGGGTAGAGTGAGGCTTAGATCTCAAGCAGAAACAGGGTTTGCTACTACACCTCCAGAAATGAGCCGGGAATGGCCAGGCAACTGCAGGCATCCTCGCGCAAGCCCACTCCAACGTGGGAGCAAGAAGCCCTGCGTCCTGAACGCCAAGGGCACAATAAGAAAGCACTTGACTCGAACTCCTATAAGTCTTAGAAAGGTCTTTTCTCTGTTGCTTGGGATGGTGTGAGAGAGAACGTGGAGAGAGGGGCCCCAAATCTCTGCCCAACACCACCTTCTGTCATCAGGATTGGAGTGGAGACCCGGAGAGTGGAGTAGCATGCATCCCTCTCGTTGAATATTTGCCAGCTTTTTAAGCTTTTTAGTGTATTACACTGTGCGTTCCACAGGCGTCCTGTGAGTTGCTTTAGGTAGCATGCTCACGGGCATTTTTTTTTTAATTTTAGTAGCTATGTATTTTAATCTGTATTCAGAAAAACGTATAACATGTTCTAACACGT